CTGATGAGGCTGTAGTGCTGCCTTGTAGTCAATATGCTAAAACTGTGTATCCTACATGCTCTGTTTGAATAGTTAGAGAAATAATGTTCACACAGATAACAAATCTGAACATACTCTTTGGTCCATGTCGAAATACAGAGGCTCTAGTATCAAAATATGGTAGTCATGTCTGTTGTAATCCTGTTTACACATGAGAAATTCTGAACTTGAGAAATGTGAGACTAGTTGCTGATTGTGCTTTAAACCACAGATGAAAGATGAAATATTGTAAAGATTATCCAACTGGTGATACTATAGTTAGCATACTGCAAATGTTCATGAGAATATATACATGTAGGAAATGACTGAGCTCCAGTTGAACAAAAGTAAAGTTAAATAATAAGGTTCCATTGACATATAATTCCAGCTGTAGCCACATCTTAGGTAAAATGAAGAACTTGATAGTGTCTAATGTCTTTGATTCTAAATCTGATGAACCTAATGTGCATACAGGAGGTGCAATCTGTCTCCATTCCTCAGTGTTTAGATATGCAAATAAAGAAAGGAAGAAAAGTGTCAGTATTAGGCGATATCAAATGCTGTATTTATGTTAAACTATAAATATATATAAAATTTATACCGGTATGTAAAACAAACAGTTACTGTTTATCCATTTAGAATCATTTGAAATCTGATATAAGGATGTAGTTAAGTGAAATTAAAAAGATCTGGAGTTTAAAATTTATACTATAAACCAGAACTCACTAGTTAAGGGGGAGAAAAAAAAATTTATATAAAACATTGCATTATTTGGGTCTCAAATCGTAAGAAAAGAAATCTTAGATCTGTTTAAATTTGGTAAGTAACCTTTTATGACCTATTGAAGTTTTATATACTAAGAAAGTAGGTGATATGAGGAAAACGTCTGTTAAATGTATTTAAAATATCCATATTATACACTTGATGCAAAGACTAGGAGTATTCAGCATATACAAAATATACTATTCTATGTGATTGTCAGAATTCTGAATTGAAAGAAAAAAGAAAAAAAATATATTAAAATTACTTCGCTCATTATGGCAGCTAGGGCCCTTTAATTTCTTTATCTTAGCTATCTTTAAATCATGAAAATACTTAATATTCTGCATAGATGGGGTATGTTATGAGGACAACAAACAAAAATCTTATAAGAGAGACAAAAATAAAAAAATAAATAAAATAAAACACTTTCATTCCAACATAGATGATGAAAAGAATCCATACTTAAGTATTTCATGAGGCTGTTTTCTGAATATGCATGTTAAGATATATATTAATCCACAAAACTAGTCCCCCCAATCCTCCCTGTATTATGTTCCTTATTCTATTTTGTTAAATCTAGTCTCTAGTTTGCCGTAGGTTTATAATTTTCGAAGAAAATCCCCAGCACAATACATTTGTATATAAGAAATAAAAGTTCAATACAAAATACTTGCCTAGAATAGTTGTATAGAAGGTAAGGCCGCATAAGGACTCGATGGAATGATGGAAATCTCTGTATGGTCACAAATACATATGGATCTGATGATGTTAGATTCTGCTCTTTCACAGAATAATCTCCGACATAGTTATCAATGTTATAAACTCCACAAGTATAATACACACAATGCAATGCTGCTTTATGTAAGTCATCCAAATTCAGATATATCCAAAATAAAAATGTGAACATACATGTACTACACACGTTTTTAAACATTGAAAACTCAGCTGTGTATAGGTTAATAAGATCCGAAGGTGAAAACAAAACAAAGTTCATGTACAAAGTATTACAAATCAGTATGGATGCGGTTCAGTAATTAATGCAGCCACATTGTGAAAAATGAAGTCCAGTTATAAAGTTGAAATAATAATAAATTAAATAATAGCACTGTAAAACTATATCAACTAGTCAAGGCTGCTATGAACCAAGAAAGTGATTATACAAAGACCATGCATATGGCTTTACATACAGATAGGGTACATCAATCATTCAGTGGGAGGAATCTGGCCTCACTGACCTTTAGATAATATACTAATTGTTGTGTAATTGATTTTTTATAAGATCTGGTATCATAATCTGCATTTCCTCACCAACAGAGATTATTTATGACATGTATTTGATTAAGAAAGGATTAGTGTGCCTCCTAGTGAGATTCCAGTTGTAACTTCAAAGTGTCAAATGCCAGGGAAATTAACCTCAAGATATAACAAGTGGTCTGTGTATGTTAATTAAATGTATCCAGAATGTCAGCATCTTTATTATCACATTAATAATTAAGTGTAAGCTGGAATGGCTGTTTGTATAAACAGTACTTATATTACATATAAGTACAATACAGTTTTGATATCATATTTTAATTCAAACTATAATGTTGACATGAAATATTATTTCTTGTTACTTATTACATAGACATAAAATACATATGTCTCTGCTAATTACGTGACATTTTGCAGTTGAAACTACTGTATATATTCTACAAGAAAAAAACAACTTCAGATCACTTTGTTGAAAACTGTTTGAGAAATCAGTGGCTCGCAATGCAGTAAGGGTCGATGCAGAAGTAATAATAAAGGGAATCTGAACACCAAAACTATAAAGGCACTCTTCGACAATTACAATAATTGTATATTTACTTACTTTTATTTAAGATAAAAAAAAAATATTAAAATTCATATACTTATTTGCTTAGAGCATTAAAATTTGACAATAATGCAACAAGAAATGAAACCAAATTCCTGCCACATTATTTATCATTTGATATACAAGTATCCATCTAGCAAATTAATGGTTCTCAATCCCATTTTTTATGACGATCTAATTCTTTAAATATTGCGTTGAGAAATGAAATCTAGAGTATTTCGTCCAAAAAGAAGCGAGAAATCCGAAACCAGTTCAAACTTTAAAAATAATTTGCCGACAGCAGTTTATATTTTTTGGGGTGTGGGGCGTGTAGCATTTTTATGGGTAGAAAGAATGAAGGTGAAACAGTGATCAATTCAAATTTAGTTTTTATGATTCTACAAAAATAAAAAACCAAAAATAACTAAAAAAAAAACAGAAAAAGAACCACACACAACTTAAACAAAATAATCAATGCTCATGCAGTAATATCTCTTTTATCTTTTCGTGTTAGTTGTATTGATAATATAAAAAATAAAAGTATTTATATTAAACATGATGACAGAGACATATAATTATGTTTCAATAATAAAAACAAAGTAATTGTGTGCAGAAAACTTTTCATTATTATATCAAATAAAAACAGTCAAACCATCAAATCTTGCTTTACTGTAAAAATTGTATTATTATTAAGTTGTTTTCAAAATTGGTTCACATTTAACTAACTATTCTTTTTTCTGTGTACCCTTTAAGTGCCTGACTGGAAACAATATTATATCCATTGTCTAATCAAATCTTTTTATATATTATAGTAAACAAACTGTTACTCCGCCTACCCATTGAATTTAGGTGTCAATCTTAATTACAATGTCTGAGTAAAAACAACCAAACAAAGTTTGAAAGCAAGGCATTTAAACTCTTGAATAACATTCTCTATTATTTCAACTCTAAAATGTTAATTTATTTTGTCCTAAGACTGGATTGGAATATGCACAAAATCTCAATATTATGTAAACTTTATTTATCTAAAGAATAATTTAAAGTTAGAGAACATTATCTCGAGCATTACATCGCACAGACTTGATTTTGTAGGTAAAAGCTGGAACTTTAGTTACCTTGATTGCTAACTTAACCATAAAATCATTATTCACTATAAGGTCCTACTTTCTGTAGGAGGGGTCAATAGTTAGGCAGAGAATCACTGAAATAAGTAGGGACAGTAAGTAAACATTGTGAAAATGAGTTTAAAACTCTATTACCAATCTTTTAAAAAGTAGTGTAAATTTTATATCTATATATTCAGCAACCAATTCTAGGTGTGCTTAATTTGTCGATTGTATTGCTGTCATTTACATACATATACGTTATTTACATGTGAAGTCCTATACCAATACATATATTGTTTTAATAAAACAAAAATATTGTCATAAATCGCGAGATATTTGTGACAAAATTAACTGATGCTTCAGCAATAGTTTATCAACATTTAATCAATTACCCAACGATATACTTTTCATGCGATTATTAAAAATATTAATTTACAGACAAGCTGTCCAGAAGTAACTATGAACTTCTTTACTAATTTACTCCCTGTCAGTTTGAGATTAAAAAAGTTAAGAGACAGAAAAATAGTCCTACAAATCATTATATCTATATCTAATGAGAAAGACAATAATTTAGGTGTATATAAACTCTGAGAGATTTTCAATTACCAAATTATCCCACTTTTCTTTGAAAGAAGAAAATGTGATCAAATAATATTAGAGTTTGAAGGTATAAAAAGTAGAATAGTAAAAATACCGAACTGAAGGAAAATTGAAAACAGAAAGTCCCTTAACAAATGGCAAAATCAAAAGTTCAAACACATCAAACGAATGGAAAAACAACTGCTACATCCATAAATTGGTACAGACATTTCCTTATGTTGAAAACGGTGGATTCTAATAGATAATTTTCTTTCCTATTTAACTAAACAAAAGGTTCACAACTGTGCATGGCACATGTATCAGTATCTTTGACTAGTTACTTATTTCAGGTGTAAGGAAAAAGATTAAAAAATGATAAAATATGTTGTATAGACACAGATAACAAATCAATTATTCTCGTGTGGGGAATACATCACAAGTCCTTTTAATAACAACACTGCCTATCCACTTTCATAAAAAGTTCAAAAGATCTGTTTTTCTTTAATTTTTGTAATTAATCGATTTTTTATATTCTATCAAATACTTTAAAAAAGGAAAGGTCATTTGCATTGTTGCAAGTTATGCCATGTTAAAACTAGCACGAAACATACAAATAAATAATAAAGAAGAATAAAAAATCGATAAAGGCGTCAATTAGAAGATATATATTCTCTTAAGTACTGTTTATATTTTTTCAGCAAAAACTTCAAATATCATGGGATGGATGGAAAGATGAACTAGCGGGAATCTTTAGATATAATTGGGAAATACATCATCTGAGAGCTGATGCTCTCGGAAATTTGATCGAAGCCTCACCAATGGAACCTTTTTACTCAAAAACCATGTTCAAGGAAGAATATAAGCCAATTATTTACACTCCACCTGAACCTGGAATGTATTCCATAATTCTGGATGTAGCAGATAAGGCAAATAACTCAAGGTTCGCACGACAGTTCGTGCTGTATGATCCTGTGTCCAATATAACAACCGACGAAACATTTAAGCTATACGTTTCAAGTGCCGAACGGGAAACTCATTACAACTGGCAGTCTAATATACAAAACCAGATGCTAAATGGTCCATCTCTGAGTGTTTCTTGGAAAGGACATTTCAGAAACAAGTTTCACGAAGATAATCAGTTGTTGAATTCTATTAACTCATTCCATGTAACAGCAATGGATGGGATGTACCTTAAAAATGTAGATAACAAACTAGACGATGTGAGCGGAAACAGAACCCGGAAAGCGATTCCTAATATACATGGAATTGTATTGTTTGAGATTGCATCTGCTGTTGACTCCCAGGGTGGAAAGACAATTACAGAGATACCAACGGCAATTAGCAGTTGGAAAAATGTAGACAACTTTTTACATGAAAATCAAACAATAGATGTTACACTAAGTGATGGAGATACCGTGCGCATCTGGGTACGATCAAAAGACATCATGGGAAATATCAAAGTAGATAGCACTGTAGTTCATATTGACACTACTCCACCAACAATAACTACAGTTGATTTAGATCCAAATGTCAACAATACAAAATTTGATTTTGCAAGCAGGTAAACAATCTTTTTAAGTTTGAATTGTAGTTTGTCTTTGTTTAGTTTAGTTTAGAATATGAACGACACTGACTCATTATGATGACAAGGGGTTAAGACTGAAGTACAACTTACTGTTCCGGTCCAATTTGTCTACTTAACTAAAGCTTATTCTATTTTATTTTCTACCCAGGAATAGATTACCTTTGCTGTATTTGGCAAAACCTTTCGGAATGTTTGGTCCTCAATGCTCTTTAACTTTGTAATTTATTTGGCTTTTTAAAGCTTTTGATTCGAGCGTCACTGATGTGTCTTTTGTAGACGGAACGCACACCTGGCGTACAAAATTTAAATCCTAGTATCTATGATGAGTTTAATCATTACTGCTTCCGAAATACGAACTAGTAATCATAAGATTTGCCATGTATGGTTTTAGTTTGCAGTTCAGTTTAATTAAATTTAATTTCTACGATTAATAATACAAAGTTTTCTATTCTATTAATGCATTAACAAAAATTTGTTTAAAACCTTTGAAAGTAGAAATAATATTTACAGTTTCATTATTAAATGGTTTATTGGTTGGTTGGTTGGTTGTAAATTATATACAAGTCCTTATTTTATGTCCGATGAAAAATATTAAATGCGTAGTAAAGACGACCAAAGGCCTGCACACATTTAAACTTAAGTTTCTCAAAAAAGGTAGATTTCTATCCAATACAAAGACAATTAAAATAATAATGTAATGTATATACATTCATTACATAAGTTAATAATATTTACAAAATCTTATTCATATTTGTGAATAAAGATTTTTTCAGTAGGATATTTCCGATATGATATTTATTTGATTTAGTTTCATTATTTTACGGATATGGTATATTTTCAATAAAGAGAACAAAAACTGAAGTAGGTTTGTTTTACCGAATTGAACAGATTTAAGGAAATCCCTTTAAGATCATACAAAGCAACGTTCTAAGCGATTGATGCAGTCCATCCAATCATGAGATTTGCAAAGAAATCACCAAACCTAAATAAGCATTTTAACCTATTTTGGTACCCTATTCAAATATTGCATATATTTCCAAGTCAAGTAAAACTGGTGGGAAGGGAGCTGTAATAAAGAAGCAAAAACAGGAAAATTTCTATAAAGAATTTAAATTGCTTGTTTTCAATTATAAAAAAAAAAAACAATTAAATATATTTTGAGCAAGTTATGGGACTAATTACATGAACATTGTATAAACATTTTTCAGGAAATTATGGACATATTCATTTTTACATTTCAATATAAAAAAGTTGGCACATTATCCTTACGATTGAAAATAAACCAGACATAGGTATTCCTATGTCATACAGTATATAATGGTTTTCCCCCGATATTCGAAGGAGAATATTACCAAAAGATTACCACGACGGTTATGAAGATATGGTAGTAGAATGGTGGGAATAAACGTTAAAAAGATACTTTTCCAAATTTTTGCAATTGGTGAATTCAAAGTTACCCCTACCAATCATGACTACAGTTTCTTACATAATTTTAAACATAAAATAACCTTCAAGATGATATTTTTTTTACATTTTTCGATCTTGTTCTAGGGTAGTTATCAGTACCAATGATGAAGAAAGTGGAATCGATAAAATTGAATGGAGAATTAAAGATAAAAAAACTGGCAAAGATTTTGAAAGTGGTAAATTAAGTGGAAATAAAACAAATGTACGTATGAGAATCATTAATGGTATTTATTCAGGACTGACAAAATGAAAGTGAAAAAGGCTTCGATTTATTGACAAAATTTAAGTTAATAAGAGGATTTAGGAATGTCCATTTGTTTTATTTCTTTAGACTCTGGACGATTTAGAGCTTTATTTAAAGTTTAATACATATATATTTGATATACTCCTATTTATTTATAAGGTGGTCTTTTGACCGATAGATGTTTAGTTACTCGCGTCGATCAGTTGCTGATTTCATAGATAAATACCCCAAATCGTCTTTGAATCATTGAACAAAACTTATTAAATCCACAAATCTTCTTTGGAAGTCAGGAATATGATAGTTGTTTTCCATTTGATTAGTTGGTTCAAGGTGATATAGTCAAGAATTTGGATTTTTCAGGTTTAATGGACTTCCCTTTTTTTTTAAATCTACCTTCGAATTCGATATTTTTGTTAATAATTTTTTTTCTGATACTGCAATTAAAGTCGTTGAACTATTCATTATTTCATATTAACCATAATTTAGTTTTTAAGCCCCCATTATATTTTATTTCATTTGAAGTATAAATCATGACTGTATCACTTTTAGTTACAAGTCGATTTCTTAGATAAACAACAGAAAATTTCTATTTGCATACCATTATGAATAGTATAGATAGAAATGTTTTGTATTTTGATTAACTATAATTCTACAAATTTTATTGAAACATTGTAAACAAATTGGTCACTTGAATCATAATACACAGTTTTAGATACGTAGTTAAAACCCACTTGGAATTAAAATCTGTAATTTATGCATAATGGGATAAGCCCGTCTTTGCATTTGTGTTGGGTCAATGAAACTTCTTGGAATACTCATTTTCTGATCTATTAATCTTCACATTCACAGATGAAAGAGAGGCGAAAGATACCAAAAGGAAATTCAATGGTACTCCTTCGTTCTGTTTTTTTTCCCTTCATTAGTCAAGTGAATATAGTGTTACAATGAAGTGAAATCCCAAAATGTACTGCCTGATAGGTATTTATTATCTTTATTTATACGTTTTGGTGAATTAAAATTCTACGTTATAAATGTATCTTTAGAAAATAGAAATAATATAAAAATTCTTTTTTCCAATGATCGCCGTTATTACTCCTGCAGAATAACGCAGTATGCTTATACATTTCAGGAAAAACTTGGAAATTTTAGCACATGTATACCAATGGGTGATTGTTATTTTTACAAGCATACAATTGACATTAATAACTGCTGGATGGTTGTTCCGAAAGCAAATTTGTCAAGTCAAAATTTAACACTTGAGGTGGACGTGTTTAATATGGCAATGAAATCATCAACTAAAAGGATACAGGTAAAATTCTTTTAGAAGAATGGTATATCAAGTGGAAATGAGATATATAGGTCTATAAGTTCATTCCTCTTCCTTTATTATGTTTAAAGAATTAAAATGTTGTGTATGGATGTTTATGAAACACGATTATTTGAACTACATTTATTTTTAGTTCTTTTATTTGAATCATTTCAATACTGAGAATAATGGCTGCTGGGCGGATGGTCCTCTAAGTAAATGATAATTCACTATAGCGATACAAACCAATAGGTACAAAAAACTGTTCAGAAGGTTTTCGTGAGAGCACGTGTTTCTGCTTTAAAGTACTTTCTAAGGTCAATTGTTTTGAGAGAGTTGCAACTTCAGTATTAATACAATTATGTTATATTTATGTTTAATGTGAAAATAAGAGAGCCAATGTAAAGTTGTAATTTGGTGATGTACTGAATCAACTTTCGGTTTAATAGTTGAGGAATAGAATAAAAGGTAAGAACGAGCTAGCCCTCCTATGGATATGGAACAGATGTTCTTGTGTACGGTTGAACAGAAAATTCCCAGCTGATCCATAAGAAATATAAAAGCTACATTTATATTCCGATGCAGTTCAACGAGATCTAAATACATATAAAACAATTTACCCCATATCTTTAAAACGGAAATGTTAACAACAAAAAATGTAATTGTTAAGCAAAATTCTGTGAACAGATTGTTAGAATTCTCAATTTAAAGGGAAATATACCCTAGTACTAGTATTTTGCCATTAAGAATATTTGTCTTTTAAAACCATTTCGTAAGGTGCAGGTAATATGAGGCTTGAAAAAGTGTGGAAATTTATTATTGGTGTATGTATTGTTATTCATTCAAATTTGACTCTGAAAATCTTTTAATAAATAAAGGCAACAGTAGTATACCTCTGTTCGAAATTCATAAATCGATTGAGAAAAAACAAATCCGGGTTACAAACTATAACCTTGCCCTTCCATCACAAGATTGGTCCCCTATGATTATGAAAGTGCCAAATGACAAAATGTTCTGAAATTTTAGAACAGTGTCGTGGACCAAAAATACAGGTCAGATACGATTTTGTTTGATTGACATTTCCGTTGAAGATATATACCTTTAGTTACAAATGAATTGATTTTATTCTGCTTCCGGTTAATAATGAGTATACCGCTTAACTAGATCTTTTGGAACTTAAACACAACGTCATCGATCATAAAATATAGATGAATGTTCAATTCTGATGGTTTATATGTTTACAGTTTGAAATTTATACCCATTAGTTACCGTTAAAGATTGGATTTCTTCTGTTTCCAGAAGATAATGAAAACACCGTTTGACCAAATTGTTGTAAACGTTAACACGATGTCATGTATCATCATAAAAAACCCAGGTCCAGAACGATTTGGATGACGTTGACAATTACTATTTAACCTCATGCTCATAATAAATGACATGCAAAATTGGTATGTCTCGGTTTCAAGATAAATATTAATTTACCACTTGACCAAATATTATGAAATAGTCCAAACGGCAAGGATCCTTAAAAACAAGTCAAATTCGATTTTTAGAGTTTTCAGCAGAACTATTGCAGTTAATTTGATACATTTTTTTTTATTGTAACAGTATTGAATATAAAAAAGCGTTAATTATCAAAAGAAACTAATTGTTGCTCTAGAATGTACCTTAAATATATTTTGAAATGTATAATTCTTATCTTTGCTTTTAATTTGAATTCATATATACATATTTCTGATTTTTATACAGATTTCTAATTTAATGCAGTTTCATGGAATGGAAAGTTGTAAGTATACATTAAACTTTCTTTTTTATAATTAATAAAAAAAAATCACGATCTACTGACCTACTTTATATGCATAAAGATAATGTCACTAAAATTACTTGCATTATCAACCAGATGTTCTTGGTATAACTAAGACTAAAACACAAACGCAGTGTGTGTCATATCATCATATCTACATGTCAGTGTGTATCTCAGGGACCAATTTTGTCAAAGATCCAGTTTTATTTATATGTACATTTAACTTGTTGCTTGGTTTAATAACCGTCTTTGTTTTTTTATGTTGTGTTTTTGTATATCGTTGTTTTGTTCTTTGATACTTTTTAGTTTTTTTCCGGCGTCAGTTTGTTTTCGACCGAGAAGTTTGAATGTCCCTTTGGTATCTTTAAGCCTTTAGGTTTTATTTGCGAAATTGTACATAAACAGTTACAGATATATTGCGACATAATTCAGTTATGGATGTAACACGTCTTCTGATTGGCTGTAAGTTTTTTGTCTATCAAGTCAAAGAAATACTTTTTTTGTGAACGTGACGTCATCAACGCTTTTTGCATGATTTACTCCTTAAAAACGAAACTTAGAATTAAATTATAAGGAATGACTGTAATATTTTTTCTTTCTATTCTTTACTTTTAACATCAATAAATTTGACTAATAGGATAATTTTAAATTGAAAAACACAATAGTGTAACCAATAAATTCATCATAGATACCAGGATTTAATGTTTGTATTTGCGCCGGGCGCGCGTGTCGTCTACAAAAGACTCATCAGTAAAGCTCGAGTTAAAAGGCCAAAAAAGTACAAAGTTGAAGAGCATTGAGGACTAAAAATTCCTAAAAGTTTTGCCAATACAGCTAAGGTAATCTGTTCCTGAGGTAGAAAAGCCTTAGAATTTCAAATATTCAAAGTTTTGTAAACAGTTAATTTATAATTATGACCATATCAATGATAATTTATATCAACACAGATGTGCAATAGTATCATGCATATATATCTTATATATTTTGATAGTCTGCATTAGTGCAGTTTTCAGTCATACCATAGACATATTGTCATACTTTAACGATAAATGAATGTCATATTGCAAACAAGAAGTCTATCCGTGCAACCGTTATAGTTATAACAAATTACTCAGCTATACTGTATTCATTGAAAAAATGATTTGATAATTTGTTTTGAATTTCAAAATGTTGCGTTTCGCCGTGGTGCGAATTTCGATGTATCGAGAGTAGTCACTTTCATTTATAATTTTATAATTTTATTTATACATTGAGTGTCAATATCTTATTCTGGATTTGATTTACCCTGCACACCAAAGTGCAAAAATTCTCGTTACATTTCAACATCTTTCTGTTAAGCAACTGTTAATCCACCGTTCCTAGTTTTTCATACGTTTGAACAGTTCACAGCGTTATTGTACTTGTATGTACATCTTATGACGTTATTACAAAACTAATAAAAACAAGTTTTTGGTTAAAAAAACATTTCAATTGTCTGCATTATTTCTTAGTGAGAAGTCATGTTATATAAATTTTGAAAACATTATTCATCAAGTATAGAAAACAGAAGATGGTATCTAAGGGATTGATTTAAACAACGCATAACACTTGAACCTACTTCTAAAATACAATGTATCAACGGAATAAATTTCAGTAAAGTTGTTTTTTATTTATCATTTAGTGTATAAAGGGAAAAAATAATGATACAAATAACATTTCAAAAACATCTAAATTGCATCGCTTTCATTTTGCAGAAAATTAAAAAAAAAGACCTCGACAAAAGAGCACATTAATTTAGAATAAAGGAGATGTGGTGTGATACCAATGAGACAACTATCCACTTGTTACCAAAGAACGGAAGAAGTTTAC